AGCGGCTAACAACTAGCCAACCAGCAGGTTAATGGCTAACAACTAGCACAAACAATTGAGAGGGCAGGCCTGAATTATACATTTTAGATACTTCAGACCCCTATTTTAATATCTGTAGGTTTTCACTATTGGCGAAGTCTGTCAAACAATGCAGGACATTTCAGAAGTTCTGCCCAAATTCACGAGGAGGTTCTTGGTTCAATCAAAAAAAAAAAAAGGGGGGAAAGGCTAAAAGAAAGGAACAACAGGAGTCACGTTTAGAGCCTTTTGTTACATTTCACAGGATGAAATGTCCACTCAAGGATTCTATTACTGAGAAATTCTCCATTGTGTTTCCTGAGCTTTTGTTTGACCCCCTGGATTTAAAGTACTCTTATAAGAATAAAGAAGGGAATGATATTCATAATCATAATCTCCCCAATCACCATAGCAGAGCTCATTACCAGACCTTTCTGTGTTCCTCACAGTGTCTCCCTCAGCCACTGTCTAAATGCTAATCTGCCTTACATTGTTTGCTGCCATGTAATCTTTATAATGGCTTTTTAATTTGCCATGGAACAGCAGCTCTTTAAAAGAGCAAAAAAATGTCTTTCCTCCCTCTGAATTGCCCCCACAGCCCCCTCCACCCCTGGACCAACTCGAGCATGTCTTCTCGTGGTCCTAACCTTGGCTTCTTCCCCTCCACTTGACCAGCCGTTGCCCCTGGATTCTATCCGCTCCGATGCTCCATAATGGCGTATCGATTCTGACCTGCGACCCCGTGCGCGCTACGGCAGGAGCAAAAACCCCAGAACTCTTCTGAGGTCTCTTTTCCTTCTCAGCGTGACAGTGCCGGGTTAAAGCGACACAGACGACTTGTTGTCCAGACTGGAACCTTTCTTTCCCTGAAGGGAGCGGCGAAATTGATTCAGAGCTTTGTGGCAGTCCGGGAGCCGGCCTATCAGCAGTAAACCGATTGCCGGTGTTCCGGATTATCATGAGAAGGGTGTCTTTGAATCTCAAAGCTTGGCCTGAACCCATTAGCAGTCTATGAAACACTGACAACAACAAAAAAAAAGGGAGCCTGATTGATCCTCGTGTTCAAGGCCGGAGCAGACGCGATGATGAGTGAGAGGGGAGTTGCACGCACTGCAGCAGAGCCCGATTTTAATTTTGCAGCGCAAGTCCAAATGTGTAGTGAAAAAGCAAATCCAAGATAGTTATATGAACATAATCTTGAAATAAAACTACCACCACAAAGTTTAATGTAGGTGTGCAGACTTTGTTTGTGAGACATTTCAATGAAACCTTATTTCGCCACAAATGACAAGAGAATGTACTTCTACTTTCTTAGTAAATGACAACGTAGCAAATGTAATAGTTTCAATGATTGCTCTTCAAGGGTGAAATAAAATCCCAATTTTTGTCCCATTGCCTTCACTGCATGTCATCATTTGTTTCTCAGTTCAAGTGGTCCTGATGATAGATCTTAAAAGCTCTTCAAACGAAGCACTGAGGTGGTGGTTTTATTCTGATTGCCAAGTAGCTACTGAATCCCGTATGTACAAACTTAATCAACCATGTGAAGGCAATCAGGAGTGGCGCCTTACTGTGAGTGAACCGCGGCGGGTTGTCGTTGACATCAGTAAGCGTGACCGTGACAGAAGTGGTGCCGGAGAGACCCCCCATTTGGCCCACCATGTCTTTGGCCTGGATGACCAGCACGTACTGGTCTCTGGTCTCTCGGTCCATGTTGGGCAAAGCCGTCCTGATGACACCTGCACAGATAATCGGAACAGAAGGTGAAGATAGGTAATTATTCCTGAGGTTTTTTTCTCTACCAACACAGACACCCTTTAGCAACGCTGTCTGTCCCGTTTCAGTCTTTTGAACCCATTGAACACTCAGCATCTCAGTGTTTTCAGCAATGTCTTTTATCTCTAAATGAAACTGTTTTTCATTTTAAAATACACAGTAGAATTTTTCTTTCTATCATCTGGCTGATAATTCAGCAGGTGCACTTTTTGCTGAAGTTTTATTCGTTTGGGCAAATGCAGAAATCAAAAGTGTTCATCTAAGAAACATTCTGAAAGAAAATAGACAGTAAATAAGCAGATCAATCTAGTTGGTATTTGTAGTTTTTCTAACATTTGTCAGTACTATGCTAGTAATAAGTATTAATTTAAGACAATGCCTTTATTGGCCTGCATTTATCTTTTTATTGCTTCCAATTACTGTGGAGAGCATGCTACAACTTGTTGCCTTGAGAAAGAACACTGAGCAATTGCAGTTTTTTTCTGTGGCAGTTCCAAACGGGTACCCTGGTAACCAGCAAAAATGGAAGATATTTTTCTCTTTCTCTTTCCGTCTATTCCGTGCTGTACGTTGTGACACATCCGACAGAAACATGGGACAGAAACAACAGTCCGTTTGTTTGAGCAGATTAGTCAAACGCTAAATGTCACTTTGAACAGGGCTGTCCTGAATGTGTCGGCTAGGAAACTGAAACAGTGTTAAAAGGAAAATGGCCCACAGTTTGTTTAGCAGGTGACAGCGGATACACCGGGAACGTATTACTTCTAAAATACGTGTTTTATTTTGTTTAATATAGCAAAGACAACGTGTTTAAAACAACTTTATACGGGCAGCTAGGCCTAACATAAGCATTCCCTTTTGGCTCTTCATAAGCAAAAATGTTAATCTAAAGCCGCAACTGGAAGAGTAGGTTCTTTAGTGCTGTAAAGATGTTGAGGAATATTGCTAAAAAGCATATATTGCATCACAGTTACATGCAAATAATGTGTAATTTATGCTCACAACTTTCTCCTTCGATATTTCAAACAATCTCACATCTATTCAGGGGTTCGTATGCTAACCTTTTTGACAATAGAAATTATCTCCTTGAAATTTTACAAGTTAATCACTGCTTTGAGTCACATGATAAGCACACTGTGTTTCTTTAATATCAGGTGTCCTTGTGTATCTCTTATTCCTTTTTGATTCAGAAACAAAATGAATGCTGGATGATCAAAATATTTAAACAGCACCAAACAATTTGAGACAAAAAAAGGGTGACATCATCCCACACGTCCTGAAATTGATTAAATTATTAACAACACTGGCTCGAACACCACTCTTATTCTCAAAGGGCTCTTTTCATGTTAAAGTGAATGATCTGAAAACATCTTTTGGACTGGACTGGACATTTAGGAAATAAGGGGAATATCCATTTCTGCTGCCCAGTTTAGAGTCATTTGAGGGTCTTCATTTCCTAAAAAGTGCTGTTATTTGAAAATGGTTTAATAGTATGATTAACAATGAGGATAATGTTACGATACTGTCATAAAAGTGAACAAATACAAGGGGACACTTTAGCCGGCAGGGTGGGCATCATCTGTCGGTGTCCCTGTCATGATTGATCTGTATCAGAAAAAGATAAGAGATGGGACAACACTGGCACAAATGACTGCCATCCATCCGTTTGCACCTGAGCCACGCTGTCAAACTGCTGCAACAATGCCGAGCCAAGCTTTGAAAGGCACGCAGAAAAATAATGAAAAGCTCAGGGTGAACTATTTTCAGGCAAAAGCACTTTTCAAATCTCAACTTTATCTCGGAACTACAAAGATGATTATTTCAGGAAAATTAAAGTCGCACATTTAAATGCAAAGAACAGT